TAGCTTGCATATGGAACTCGAATCGTGTACATTGGATGTTTCTACAAAAAGATATGCTTGAACGATTGACAGAAGGGCATCCTGAACGCAGTTTTCAAGCTCTATTCATCTTCTTTTGATCCCGTAGCCAATCGTAGGGCATCAAAAGCAGCTGAAAGGGGACTTTAATTTCAAAATCTGTCAAGGCAGTTTCCAGGGCAAATAGTAGGGGATGGTTCAATACCAGCAACTTTCAAGACAGTGGACTGATAAAAGGCATGTTCACAAGCCTGAACAAGAGGATTCTCCTAGACAACGAAGGATGGGGGTGGCTGTTCAGTACAGGCAGCCGAGTGGGTTTCTTCAAAGACAACCACACTTTTTTCTCCATTTTCACTAGCATCAGGAAAAACAAAATCACAGAAATCAACATGATTAAGAGGTTCCTTCACAAGTTGAGGTGGAAGAAAAATAACATCAGAGAGCAAAATTAATCCAAAGAAACGGGTATAATATATTCAAAGAAACGCCCAGGACTGTTTAATCCAAAGCCTTTGAAAATCAATGTCAAAAGCAAAATTAATTAGTAGCAAGTGTGATATATGGAGCACCACGGAATAGTTTTGGGAAAACCCTAGGACCTCAAAAGCTTTTCGGATAGCAGTCAAAGCAGGGCGACCATTAGAGAAGGTGTCAACTAGAGAAAAGCTAAAATTGGAGGATAGAACCTGTCATTCATTGTTTGAGAAGGAAATCACAGAATACCCTTTCAATCGTCCAGGAGGTTTGACGAGGAAGACAAGATCTCTGAAGTTGGCAAAGGAGATTCCCTGAGAGCGCAGTCATTGGCTGGGGAGTGATTCCCATACCGCCGCTATGTACCAGGGTTTTTGTGGCGCGACATCGAACTCGTAACCCTCCGCCTGCGGCATTAGTATGCCGCACAGGCGTCGGGAGAGAGGCGATGGCTACGAGAGTCGTAGTGGAAAGGCAGATTGAAATGTAAAGGAAATGTTAAGTTTATGATTTTATTTAAAATATAAATTTAAATAATAAATTGGGCTGGAGTGTCACTATTGTATCTTGACGTAATAGTATCAATAATTACTCATACACAACTGTCATAAATGTTTTTGTGCCACTATAGTATCACTAGCTAAGTGTCAGTGTAAACTGTTTTTTTTAAGTGATTATTTTTCTTCAAAAAAAGTTACCAGATTATTTCCTGTTTAAGACACTCATGCTCTACTTAAAAAGTAGAGTTATAAAGCAACTACCATTTTTCATAATTGATTTATTATATTTGCTTCTATAGGAACTTCTTTTACATAAACATAATTTGATGTTGTTACACAGTTTAGACTTGCAATTTTTTATATGCAATTGTGAATTTGAGTAATAAGTTGGTTGAGCCTAAACTTGACTATATTTGTGCGGCATAATAAAGACCCAACCCGAAGTAATATATTTTTTCTACATGATTCTACCTGGAGTATTTATTTAAATTGTATACATGTGGGTTGTTTAGCAGTTAACATGAGTCAAACGGGTGGGCTAAGAAAATATAGCAAACCCGCCGATGTGCAACCCTAATTTACTCGATCTACTAAAAAACAGTCTTACAATGACACTTTTATAATGACACTTTTATGTAAAATAGCATTATTGATACAGAAGTGTCACTAATATCTAACACAAAAATATCACCATCAAATAATGACACTTTTATTCAATTGGAAGTATATGTATTCCCCTAAACGGGCCGCGCGGCCATGAGCCCGTCATCTAATACTTCTGTAGTACTTACAAAAGTTAACAAGGCCGCATTAGATTATCCACTTGAGAACAAACCATAACACTAGATTTTACTCACGACACCAGCAAATGCCGCAACAGAGGAGTTTCGTCCAAGAGAGCAATGGGCCATCGCCCAAGCTATAGCGGCTCTCCAGGCAGTATATGTGTAATTCCCGTCAACCTACAACATATAGAATACATCTTGAAACCATACACATCTAGGGATTTGAGAGGCTTGTCAAAACTTTTTCTGCTAATATACTTTCTGTGTTCTCCATTTTTAGAGGCATGAACTAGTTGCTTGGTTTTTGTCTAAACTTTTTCAATTTCAAAATAAGAAGAACAAAGTTGCTTTAACATTCCTATAATGTTACTTGACAACAATTGGGAAACTAACAGGTGAACAAAATGAAGAACAATTAGGAATGGTTTTTAACATTCCTTAACCGTAATTAAAACTGATTTTCCTGCACTTAAGAGCAATAGTAACTAATTAATATGACTCAATGTTTAAATCAAAACAGTACTGAAACCCCCTAAGTGTAATGTTTTTCAACTCTCATCTCATTTGCCAGCTTTTAAATTTTTCTTTCACCCTAAATCAAACAGATGGTTATTTTTTGCATCCTATTCTCACTATAAATACATTACAAATAAAATAACTATTTGACCATAACTTTTGAAAAAACTAACACAAATACTATTTATGAAGTGCTTTTTTTATAACTAAGTAACAAACCTAACTAACCTTTGAATTGTGTGCACTATTGGTCAATAATTATGGATTAAAGGGCACAAACTCTAGACTTCTTATATTGTAGTCTTGTAGTGCACCATTACATGCAATGAGTTTGGTCAATCTCTGCAAGTCTGCATTTCGCCTTTTAACCTATTTATTATGTCTGCATTTTGAACATTTTGAGTAAATTTAATTTGCCAGGTAAGGACTCTTCAGACACCTCACATTATCACATATGGAATATGCTTGAGTAAACATCACTTTTCTTTCTCAGGTTCTCACAAATATCTTATTGCCTCTCGGATTTTTATTTAGTTGTTTGTTTTTTGGATTTGCTTGATGCATGCAGTTCTTGAGTTTTGGTTAAGCTTATTTTTTTAAAAAATACAAAGGAACTAAAGAACTCAAAGCTAATCACTTTCATAGTACTCAATTGTATTTGAAGTCAGTGTTACTGGCTTTGTAATGGTCATAGTTGAATAACTTCATTGAAAAAAAACTAATATAAAGGAAATAAACTATATGTGCTTAAAGGTGTTATGTTGGTGTTGCCTACTCACCGACTAGGCATCCTGGTAATGGAGGAGAACTGCAATGCTCAGTCTGATTTTTAATAGAATGCACAAGGAATGAATTTTATATATTGATGTGTTTAGCGGATTAATTAATTTTGAATCATATTGCAGGAAGTCAAGGTGAGATAGTTTTTTCTAGAGTGATATTTAGAACTCTTTCTGTTGGAAGTCAAGGTTAGTTGTTCACCACTTTTTTATTTGGATTATAAAACATACTTGGAGTTCAATACATAGTTCATGAGTGTGTATGTCAACAATACAATATTATTCAATGTAAGCCACTTTCTTCGTGCAATATTAAATGTTGTAGGTGCTGATAACGGAGATAACTGGAGCGTTGGGCACATGCAGCTTCTTTTCTTAGGGAGAGTAATGCTAAAAAGAATCAAACTTCTGTTTGTGGATGAGGCAACCTCATCCGTTGATTCACAAACGGATGGTGTGATTCAGAAGATCATCCGTGAAGACTTCGCTTCCTGTACAATAATCAGCATTGCTCATAGAATACCCACTGTCATGGACTGTGATCGCGTTCTTGTAATAGATGCATACCTAGAATGCAAACTTCAAGTACAATGTAGCTTTAATTTAGGTTTGAAATGAATATTGTACTTAAACGTTCAATCTATGGTTTGAGATTTATTGATTTTGTTATCATTTATGGGTTTATTGAATTGGAATTTCTAAAATATAATTAAATTGGAATTTCAAAATTATATTGTTCTAGAATGCTGAAACAATACAAAAATATAGTGATACCAAAGTGTCACTAACTTATCATTTTGCTTGGATGGAAAACAGAATTACGTGATACCAGGGTGTCATTAGCATATGTGATGTAAAAGCATCGTTGAGCGGTTGTGTCGCATATGTATCACTAATTGGTGATACTATAGTGTCATAATTTAGTGAATTTTTTAGTGACACTTTTTTAGTGTCACTAGCCCCCACCTTCAGCGACACTTTTTTAGTGTCACAGAAGCTTGTTAGTGACACTAATTTGGTGTCACTGTAAGACATTTTTCTAGTAGTAGATCTACTACCCTAAAGTAATAACGACGACATAGTGTCAAACAGTATAAAAAAAATATATTCTACAGTATAATATATACCTTCGATAAAAAAAGGTACTTTGTGAAGTTAAAGGGAAAAAATTATTTCCTTAACGTGTGTGATATTATAACTAGTAGTTTAAATACGCACGGAGGTAATATTTATTTAGTATTTCTATTTTTTCAACCTACTCAACCTAAGTGACATCAATATTACACACATTTAAAATAAACAAAATCATAAAAGTTCAGACAAATTTGAGGTAAATTTAATTATCTGTATACGATAGTATTTACCAATATTTTTATAAAAGTAAATTATTGATATATATATATATATATATATATATATATATGCTGATTTTTTCATCGTTGGTGACGTTAGAAATTCAAAGAATTGAAAACTCTCTCGTATGGAAAAAGAACTTAAAGAAGATATTTGGAAATCATTGTACGAAAAAAGGATGGAGTCTACTCATCACTATCCTTTCCATCCTCTAGTGCTAAAAAGGAAGCTCTATCTTGACTTTTTCTTCATTTCTTCAATTGTGATCTTTTTATGTTATATTCATATACTTCGTTCTTGATTAAAATTCCTTTAATTTACATAAATTTAAAGAAGTTTATACCGTATAATTAATACTTGTTTAAAGATTAAAGAGTTTGAATGACAAGAAAAGGTAATTTAAAACAAATTATACACACTTCTTTCTTGAAGTTTTTTCTCTCTTTAGTACTTGTCGCCTCCAAGATCATTTTATAATCTACTTGTTTCCTCACCATTTTATATATCTCCATTAGATCTTCTCTCTCATATTTCTCTCTACTTATATTTTCCCCAAAACAAGAAACTCAAAGTATTTACATAAAGGCAAGGATATAGAGAGATGGACAACAAGCCAAGTCTCCGGAATAATAATGTTTTAATACAAGTGGTTGTTTGCTTTCTCTTGATTGTATTAGTAGGGATTTTGGCTCATCACAAACACCACAAGTCTACTCAAGCTGACATTGAGGACGCGATGATCATGATGATGATTTCTCCTCTCCCCCCTTCGAATAACGTAATGATTCAGAAGATGTTGAGACATCATTATTCTCTTCGTCATCACACTCATAAGCCTATCAATTATGTGAGTAAAAGAAGTGTACCAAATGGATCTAACCCCATTCACAACCAGAGGTACTTTCAAACTTTTATAAGTACATCCTAATATATTATAGTGATCGAGTATATATATGTAGGTATTTACATCATTCGTAGCAATCCGGTGTAACCAGCTCAGCTGGCCGCAGACTCACGTTCTTTTTCATGAAGTCTAAGGTGTGAAACTTCATGTGGAGAGTTACCCCACATGATCCCCCAAGCCTCCGATCCTGACCCTTAGGATAAATAAAAAGAAATTCTTAGGAACTCCAAAGATTCTATTGCATTATATAAATTTTTAATAATCTATAAAGCAAACCATTAAAATCATGCATATATCATATATATGTGTGTGTTTGGCTATATATATAATGTGCCATCATTTTAGTATCGAAGACGAGATTATAATTATGATGCATCTAGTACTATACGTACTTTCTACTAACACCGGCCTATTGGTTTAACACAACATAGCTGATTCAAGATTTTCACATAGACTACAATTCCCGAAGGAAGAAATTTAATTAGAAAAAGGTTTTAAGTTTAATAAGATGAAAATTTGAATGAAGGGTGGTGATCTGATGACTCTTCGTATGAAAAATATATAAGATTATGCATATAATTAGTCCACGTGAAATTGACAATCTATGAATGGAATATAATAATGCGTTGGAGTTCTACATATATACTCCATATTTTAATTAATCTGGTTTTAGAATTTAAAGATACGGATTTTATTATGTGATACACTAGTTTTAACAATTTATGTCTTTGACTAATGTGAATGTCAAACAATTTTGTCTTGAAGGGGCGCACCCCAACTACTCATCATTAATTGGGAAAAGCTACAATCAACCCTGAACAGTGGAGCTAGCTAGCTGAGGTCGATCTGGTTCGCTCGGATCTACAACCAAGTCGAATCCAGAGTCCATCATATGTAACTATTTTACATGGAGATATGAATAAATATATATATATTGAATAATACGTAGTAATTAATTATTATATATGAATAAATATATATCACCAATTCACCATTATTATTCATCAGTTCAGGCATTAATGCTGGTTTTGCCTTTGTCAAGTAAAAACGTGATTATTGTAGTGTATTTTCATTTGCAATTGTAAAATCTTTAGCCTTTGTTCTACGCTCCCAGTTTCCACAAAAATATTCTCATTTATTTTGAAGGAATAGTTTTTTTAGTTGGAATTTGTAGACCCTCTTCCACGGCACTCATAATGATATTTTTCATACTCCGTATTTTCTTAATAAGCGAACGTGTCAAGTTAAAGTGGAAGAACATTTGTGGACGAACATAACATCATCTAGGATACTACAAATTAAATTCTATTAATGATTATATGATTGGAAATGAGACAATACCCCATAAAGGGATATATCCTAGATCTGTTTGATGTCATTTTCTTGAAAGTAAACAACACATTCACATACCATACATGCTTAAACTGGTCAAAAAATTATTCTTTTGACTAAAAGAAAATTTTATCAAATGCCACATAAATAAAGTACTGTTTATCCATATAAGATGCACGATGTTAAGATTCGTCACTGTGGAGGGCGATGGTCGTGGATTTGGGAAGATGGATTGATGAGTTCGAAATCTCTTGCAGACATGATTTTAGAGAAACTAACTGGCCAGCTCACCTCCTTTCCAGATATGTCGCTGGTCGGTCCCATTTAATCCACTTCACTTCTTGAAATGGGTTTCCTTCTAATATTAATTGGTAGAGCGATCATTGATGATAAATTGGGCCTTCCTTTTTTCGCTTAACTTAATTTTCTCTCGCTGAATGTATTTTATAGGTGTTGGGATCCCTCCTTAATTTGAGAGGTTCTAGAAAATTCTAGAGCTTTCTAGAGATGTATAGAATTTTCAAGAACGTTGCGGAGAATCCTAGAGAAGTCTAGAACTTTCCGAATAGTGTGGAATCCTCTAGAATATTCAGGAGATGTGTGGAACCTTCCGGAATCTTATGGAAGAGTATGGAAGCATATGCAAGGGAATGGAGGGTGTAGAGATTCCTTGGAATTCTCTAGAATATGTAGACATGTGTAGAGCATTCTAGAGAACTACTCTCCACCATTCATTATGGAGGTGAAGTAGTATAAATACGAGTAGGAGCCTCCATTCCTAACTACTCTCCAACATTTTTCTGTACACCGAGATGAGTTTTTTTGTTGATTTATCAGTTGAGAGTTGGTTTATAACGAACTGATCTATAATCTAAAAAATTAAACATCCAGCTAGCCTATTACTTTAAATTAATTTTTTAAACATCCAATTAAAAGTAAAGTTCCTGATCATGTTGATTTATCACTTGTTGATTTTGTTTGCTTGTAGAGCATCAGAATATGGAATACATGAGATAGATAACAATTTCTTTTTCATCACGGAATAGCCACAGGCGACGCTTATAATCTCAGAAAATTTGATATAGATATTTTTTTGGATTGCAGGTGATAGCAGCAAGGTTGTTGGAATCAAAGCATTCCACATCGCATTTATATTTATCCACATGTTTCACATTTAATTGAACTGTGCAAGTTTACTAAACGTTCTTATTTTTGTGTAACAAATGCATGATGGAAAATAATAACAAAACCAAATAAAAGCATTTGCTCCCTGAAGTTTTCTAAATCATCATTTTGCTTCTACCAGATGTTATATTGAATCCTCTTATTTTCTTCAGAACGGAGCTTAAAGGTATATATGTTGGCTACTTATCTACTACTATGCTTTTCACATAACAACGCTATATATTCTTCATCATATTTTTTGCACTTTTTTTGCAGAGAAGTATCTGATATTGTCATTAAAGTTGTTGTTGTTGCTCTAAAAAAAGTTCCAGCTGTGAATGGTACCATTGCTCTAAAAAAGTTCCAATTGTTTTTCATTCAAAAGTGTTATGGATAGTTTTGGTAAACATAAATCGCCAACTATTACATTATGTTTCGCTTACGGCAAGTTTTGGTAAACAACAAAAAAGACAAGCCAGCATGATTCGAGCTCTTAGCACCCTCTTACTCATCATCATCGGATCAGTCTCCCCAAGCTGCCATTATTGCCTTTTTTAGATCTCTATTGAACCCTTTGTCTTAACTAGACCTCCGGTTGGAACTTTTCTTGTTCTTACCATAGGTTTTATCATTCTTCTTTTGTGGGCAGTCCTTTGCCCTGTGTTCAAAGGAACCACAAACAAAACAACCGTAGTTATTAAAAGATTGAGAGTTCTTTTTACCTTGTTTTTTTTGTTTCCTTTGTAGCGTCGGTACATCTTCCCGAACTGCTTCATGAACAGGCTCATCTCATCCTCGGATTCACTTTCGGATTCCTCTTCTTCTTCTCGAGCGTTTAGAGCTATTCCCCTTTCATTTCTTACATTTTTAGCATCGTGCTCTTCTTGTAGCTCTAACTCATATGTCATGAGTGAACCCCTAAGGTCTTCTACGGTCATTGTGGAGAGATCTTTGACTTCCTCTATTGCCATAGTTTTAGGCTTCCATGCAGAGGGTAAACTTCTCATTACTTTCCTTACTTGATCTTCAACGGAAATATCCTTTCTAAGGGTTGAAAGCTCATTTATGATATTAGTAAAATGTGTAATCATATTCTTAATTGACTATTTAGGCTTCATTACGAATAATTCATAATTCCGCATAAATATGTCAATTTTGGATCTTTTTACACATGAGGTGCCTTCATGGGTAACCTCGAGCAAATCCCACACTTGTTTGGAGACTTGCATCCTAGAACCCGATTGTGTTCGGCAGGACCAAGTCCACAAATCAAGTATTTTAGTGCTTGGCATTGTGCTCAAGTTTTTGATAATCATCAGTAGTATACTCAGATTTAGGTTTAGGAACAACATTACCTTCATCGTTGACCTTAGTGATGACATTATTGCCTTCTTCAATTACATTCCATACCGGATAGTTTTCGGCCTTGACAAAGTTCTCCATTCGACTCTTCTAGAATTGATAGTATTTGTCATTGAACAATGGTGGTCGTTGAGCCATGTACCCTTCTTCAAGTCGTTCAACCGTGTTCATTTTTTCGGATCTCTTCCCAAGGCTTTACCCTCTATGTGGTGAAGAGCGGCTCTGATACGAATTGATGAAACGATTAGTAACACAAGAGGGGGTGAATTGTGTGTGTGTGTGGAACCGTGACAATTTTTTGCCAAGTTCTAGTGTGGGTTAAAGGGTAAGACAAAGTAAATGAGTGCACAAGGATTTAACGAGGAAAAATCTCTTGGCTCAAAAGAGATTAAAAACATCGACCTCCCTCGGAGGAATGTTAACAACTTCACTAAAAAGCCTTTGAATGGTTACAAGAGAAACTCTCCTAGTCTACCCTTGAGCCACTCCAACTCCATTCTCTCTAGGAAGAGTTATGCTTCTCTACCTTGCGAGTAGAGAGTCTCTCAGCTTTACAACTAAGCTCTCACCACACATTTGCCAACCCGAGGATGCTACACTTAGTCAATCCTCAAAAACCCCAATACAATATGAAGAAGGAAAAATAGGAACTATATCTAGAACTCTATGTGAGCAGTTTCAGGTTCCTTGGACTCCGGTAGTTCTTTGATGAATTTGTCTCTCAATAGCTGTCTCGATCAAGCACATCTTTCTTTTTTTTTTATCTCGATTTATAGGCTGCTTGGAGATAGACCCGTTGAGGCTTTCCTTCTTTGGATGGGTCATCAAGAATGAGACTTGCCTTGTTATAATTTGAAAAGCCTTCCTTCTTTAAGAGATGCATCTTTCAAAGGCAACAAACTCATATATACGTTGATCACAAATTAATCAAAGACAATTGCATAGGAATAGATACCATCGTATGTTTAAGGAAAACAAATTAGTCACTTAAATACCATGCAACAGATCACAATTAAATCACCACATATTAAGTCATGCAATCATATTCAAGCAAGCAAGGATCCTTTCTATAAAGTATTAAGCTAAACTAATAAGTGGATGCCAAGTCATACATGGAAAGAGAATAAATGATTAATGTTACGTACATAAAGAATATGCATGAAAATATTCTAACTTAAAATAGTGATCTTGACAACTAGGTGGCTTGTTAACATAGGTGGTCACATTAGCAAATTAATTCATACACACCGTACAAGGAAATCAATTATCAATTAATTCATACATCATGTAAGTCAACCGCTCATAAAGAACAGAATTAAGGATAGTTCTGTCTTCCGTTCCTTATCAAAGTAAGAGCGATTCTGTCGATTGTTCTACCTGCACGATTAGTCATAAAAAACCCACATACTCAACGCAAACTCTGAACTCTAAACAATTACCCAATTTTTACTTTTAGTCAGTGGATACCAATTCTGCCGATAGCTGCCGACGTGTACGCAAATGTGTAAATTTAACTTTATGTTTTCGGATCAATTGTGCTTAGTCAATGAAACACAGATCTATGCTTAAGAACTGTTCATCTTCCCGGACAATTTGTACGCCCATCACTCCAAAATCTGAAGAAACTAAAATAAGCACAAATGCACCGAATTGCTTACTTTTCTTCTAGAAATTAAACTTAAAGAACAAACTAATTTGGGAATCAAAACTTTTAATTCATAGTTAAACAGAGATTCGCTTGAGTAACGTCGGAATCTCCATGGTCGAAACCAAATTTTTGACTGGCATCCCTTTTACAGTAGGATTGGAAGACAAATGAAATGAAGGGGACTTCTTCCCTGACATCCTTCTAATAGATTACATATTACGGAGTATTAATCTGTTTCCCTCCAATTTAGTAGAAGAATCAGGGGATGAAGCAAACGAGAATCCAGGCGGCGAAGCAGATAATAGGGAGCACCAGGCCCCAAGTGACACCCAGATGTGTGACGGCGACCGGGATTGGAGCATCCAAGACGACAAAGGTTGACAGGTTTGAGCAAAAGAGGACCAGTCCACATAGGCACTAACACATGGAACTTGTTGTTTACAGGCCGCTAAAAGTAAAATTTGGGATGTTTTTTTAAAGTTGGGGTTGATGGAGTGTTTTAGAAGCTGTTCTCTTCGTCTTAATCTTATTACTTATTCCTTATTCTTATTTTATTCAGATCAGATCAGATCAGATCAGAAAGATTCAGATCAAATCAGATCAGATCAGAAAGATTCAGATCAGATCAGATCAGATCAGATCAGAAGCATTCAGATCAGATCAGAAGCATTCAGATCAGATCAGAAGCATTCAGATCAGATCAGAAGCATTCAGATCAGATCAGAAGCATTCAGATCAGATCAGAAGCATTCAGATCAGATCAGATTAGTTCAGAAATTATTATTACTGTTATTATTACTATTATATAATATTATATATTACTGTTATGTTTTACGGAGTAATTTTTAGTATTGATTTTTTAATAAATGCTAAAATTGAGTACTCTGTACCAATCCATCTAATCTAAATATATAATACTGTCACCATTTGATCGAGAAGAATGAATTGAAGTACAAACATTTATTCAATATCAACTTGCGATTATGGTATCAACTTTCGCACTGCACAACTTTATCCGTCTTTACGAGTTGGATATTCCAATTTCAAGTGCAATCAAATATTTTTATTATTATTAAAAAGGTTATTAATATCACTACTTATTATTATTATTATTATTATTATTATTATTATTATTATTACTACTACTACTACTACTACTATTGTTATTATTATAATTATTATTGTTACGGAGTATTATTTTTATTATACTTATTAAATAATAATAATAGTTATTATTACTATTATAATTATTATTGATGTTATTATTATTATTGTTATTGTTATTGTTATTATTCTTATTATTATATACCAATTTAGAAAGTTAAGATCAGATCAGAAGGATTCAGATCAGATCAGAAACATTCAGATCAGATCAGAAACATTCAGATCAGATCAGAAACATTCATATCAGACCAGACAGATTCAGATCAGATCAGAAACATTCAGATCAGATCAGACAGATTCAGATCAGATCAGATCAGATCAGAAAGATTCAGATCAAATCATATCAGATCAGAAAAATTCAGATCAGATCAGATCAGAACTTAAAAAATTCAGATCAGAAACATTAAGATCATGTGAAGAGAACAACTTCTTATAGTATGAGAGTTCAATTCAATTTTCTGCTGTACTACGGAGGCTTATTTGAAAGATTTCCCGAACTAAAATGATTTTGCCGAAGAATATGTAAAACTAACTCGATCACCAAAGTGCCCCAAACCTTATGCCAAATGGGATAAGGAACAATAGTGGATTGAAGGGATGTAAAAGGGTAGACATGCATTTTATTGGAAGCTTGAGGTAGATCCCCTTGTGATTGTTCTTAATAGAACAAGAACTTTTGTCAAAATCATTGTACAATCATTATCCACACAATTTTTAAACAAATAGTAAATTACATTTTAGATGTGGGACATGATAATTGGAATTTAATTTTAACGGACAGCCATGAGTAGATAAATAATATTGCTAATTTCAAAAATAGAAGTTTAGTACCATCCGCGATTTGAACACGATTTGGCCCAAGAGTATTGGTCATTTGGTCTATTGGTCTAATACTCTAATGGTAAGCCATAGTCTCCAAAGATAATGGCCTAAAGTAGTAAAGGGCTAAAGGCGATTCCTACCTTTAACATTCCTAAATTATTGAGGTCAATTCCTAAATTAGTAAATTACTATTTGAGCATTTGAGGTCAAATTCTAAACTACTAGTACTATATGTGTTCCACTAACACTGGGACATGAAAAAGTGGTGCAATTATTTAAAAAAGTAAGTTTGTGTGGTAGATATTGAATTGATAAATTAAGAATAAAGTAATAGTGATTTACAACCACACAAACTTTATCAAATTTGGTATGAGACAATCCTAGTGAGATAGACCGAAAATAAAAAATGAGACAATCTTAACGGGATGGAGGAAGTAATACGTATTTAAATTTTATTGGGTCAATCTTGTTATATTGATTTGACATATTGTATGCATTAAATGATAAATGATAAATACATGAAATAAATTATTTGATGGTATTAGTAATATTAGTAAAGTAGTTATTTTATTTTATTTGTAATTGTACTTAGAGGTTTTATGTTTTTATGTGTATTCATTCTTTGCAATTTTTATATATGTTTGCATTTAAAAACTTATGTTTGTGAATATTAAAAGAGGTCTTTTAAAAAATATAACTAAAATAAAATATATTTACAAAAATATGACTCATAGTCACTTAAGTGTAAAAGATAATATAAATTACTATGACTAGGTTACTATTATAGTTACTAAGTCACATTTTTGTAAACAATCATAATTTTAGACACTAATATATAATTATTTCATATTAAAACATTTTATTGTGCTCTCTAAATATGTTTTTTCTATACTACATAATATTTTATTCAAATTATCTCATTTTCAATGTGATCTTTTCATAGTAAACATTTTGCTGTCTAGGGCCTCTGAAATGCTAAAGACACCCCTGGCAGCAACATGCCAACAAATACAGACAGTGGCAATCTTTAAGGGAACTTTACAATTAGTCCTATTTAGTGTTTAAAAACTTCTAACTCCTATATACGTTCTCAGCCCTTGTTTTAGTCCTATGTAGATTTATTTCCCTAACATTTAATAGAGCTTTTCCGTTAAACTAATGTTACTTAAATAAGGGTGATGAACAAAAATATAACCTAAGTTACTACAAGTATATTAGAACAATATCATGATCACTACAAGTTACGTTTATTTTAGCTACATATTTGTCTATATTTTCTGTTTAATATCTTCACATCATGCATCAGAGCCCTCTTATATTTCTTTCAATGTGCATCTTATGTGGATAAACATTAAAAACTTCTAATCACTTTGATGGAGTATATGGCCCGGGAACCCCCGGCCCACAGACTCCTACTACTCCATCAAAGGCCCAACAGGCCCAACAGGCCCGAATCACAGCGCCCAGAGTACCAAGCAGTCCGCACAACGCACAGGGGTGCCTTCGGCCCCCTGGCCGAAGGCTCCAAATTATCACAGAGCGGGTTTCTCAAGCAAATTAGGAAACTGGGAGAAAACGGCGAAAACAGTAGCCCTCGGCATTGTGAGCCCTCGGCACCAGGGTGCCATCGGGTGGGAGAGCCCTCGGTTACTGCTCTATAGCCGAAGGCACATCACTCGACAAGATATCTGCCTCACATGCGTACAGATCACCGTACCCCGCACAGACGTCTCATCCAACAGCCGCATTAAATGCGGCCACATGCGGCTGCCAGCGCCAACCAGTTGAGGTGACCCCTCGGCCAATGAGCGCTTGACACGTGTCCCTGCCCGGCATTTATTGCTACTATAAATAGCACCCCATTTCCCCATTTGTAACCACGCTGAAAATGCTCCACATTGATAATACACCCTCTCTCTCTATATTCACTTGCTCTAACTTCTCTCTAAGTTACTCCCCGCGATAACCCTTCGGATATATACCCCCGGGTAGACTATCCATCATTTGGTGCTCTCGTTGAGAGGTTGAACAATCGAGTAAGAAACCCTCCCCCTCGACCAAACACAAAACACTAGCCCTCTATCAAAATGGTGAGGACAACACGTGCCAACTCAAAGAACGTAGAAGACAAGAACCTGCCCCTCGGCGACGTCAACGCCCCCGAAGCCTCTCACAGGGCTCCCGAGGGCGGTGTCATCGCTGGGCTGGAACAGGCGGCTGTCGACCTACGCCTTCAGATCCCACAAAATGCCCCCGATGCCCACCTCGGCATCGAGGCCAAGAAGAAAAACCGGAGCGATGACCAAGTCAGCCCTCCGGTTCTCACCATCGACGTACAATCGGCGCTCTCCGCCTTCATCCAGACGCTCACCCAGAACCCGGGTGCCTTCGGCACCCTGGCTCCAGCTCACCCTCAGATCGGGGAAAATATCATACTTCCCCCTCTGCCACACCCCTTCGGAAATCCCACCCCTCGGGTGCGAAACGACGAAGGGGTGGTGGCCCAAGAAACATCCTCCCAGGAAGTTCAGTCCCGGGACCGCCATAATGACAACAGGGAGAGGCCCCGTACTTCCGCCCTCAACCGGCTCGGAGGAGGGCCAGACCGCCGAGGGGTCCAAGACCGCCTCGGGGGGAAAGCACTCCAAAGGCCCCAGGAAAGCGGGGGATCTGTTTCGAGGGCAGACGAGGAGCGTCCCCCTCGGGACAAGGGCAAGGCACCCCTTCATGCCGATGATGCTCGGCACCAAATCAACCAGGCCCACTCGGCCCGGGTTCGTTCGCAGGGGGCGGAGACCCTCCCGAGGGACCCCCGGGACGAGATTATTGCGGCCCTCCAGCGCCGGCTTGACGAAATGGAGTCCAACAAAGCTCACGCCACCACCTCCACCCCTCACTCAGATCTCAAATACGAGGCCATGATGGCCAAGATGGAGGAGTTACAGAAGAAGGTGGCCGAGGGCTCCAGGGAACCCGTCATCCAGCTCCGGACTCGGACGCCATTTACCCCAAGGGTATTGGCGGCCCGGATCCCGGAGAAATACCGAGGGCAACACATACAGCCCTACAGCGGGAAAACGGACCCCCAGGAACATTACAGCAAGTACCAGAACAGCATGATGATGGTGGGGGCGTCAGACGAATATTTGTGTCGTTGGTTCCTTTCCACCTTAGAGGGGCCAGCATACGAATGGTTCAACAGGCTGCCCGAGGGCTGTATTGATTCATGGCAAGAACTCGCCCAGCGGTTCTTGACACAATTTGCCGGGAGGCGTCGCACAAGGAAGCACTTCTCCCACCTCCTAACAATACGCCAGAAGAAGGATGAGACCCTTCGGGATTTCCTGGAGCGCTGGAGGACGGAGGCCGACAAGGTCGACGGTGCTGATGACGGGACCCTCCTGGCCCTCCTACAAACTGTCCTCCGCACCGGCAACTTTTCAAGGAGCCTCATCATTGAACCCCCTCGCGACTACATAAGGGCCTTGCAGCGGGGG